GTCCTTGCAAGTGGAAATCTTTTCACCGGACATGAAACGTAGCCCACGACATTACATGAACCGCCGTTTCCAAGTGTAAGCCTCTCTGTAAGCCCGTCACTGAAAAGCGGCCATCAGATGACTAAGAATAATGAAATGGGATATGCTGGAGAATGCCATAGATTGGTGAAGCTCCCCGGACAACTGGTAGGAATGACGTAGCCCTGAACACTAAATCTACTGTACGCTAAGAATCTGTCTCTTTCTTTACACTGCGGCATTTGTGCCAGCTCATTCCCCACTGACTTCTTTAAGATCCAGATGTTAAAGTAAGCAAAGAGTCGGGAAAAGTACTAGGTGAGCTCTCCAGGTTTGGGAAGCGTGCCAAGCACAAGCAGATGCTGATGCAACAACACAGCTTTACTGTGTAACGTCTTCCCTTTCTTCTTTGACCATTCCTCCACCTGAGATGCAAAAATGGGTAACAAAAAAGACAAGCGCTTGTCCCAGCAAATGCCTAAGGCAGAGGTCTTCAAACTTGGCAGCTTTAAGACTTGTGGACTTCAACTCCCAGAATTCTCCAGCCAGCCTGTGCTGGCTGGAGAATTCTGGGAGTTGAAGTCCACAAGTCTTAAAGCTGCCAAGTTTGAAGACCTCTGGCCTAAGGGAAGACACCATTTTAGCAAGCTCATTATTATCGGAAGGAAGATACTACAAATTTCAATTCTACAAGTACAGGTAGTTCCCAACTTACAATTGAGCGCAACATTTATGTTGCTAAGCAAGGCATTTGTTAAGTGAGTTTTGCCCGTTTTACCACCTTTCTTGCCACAGTTGTTAAAAGTTAGTTACATGTTTGTTAAGTGAACCTGGTCTGCCCATTGACATTGCTTGTCGGAAGGTCGCAACACATAACCCTGGGACCCTTCAACCGTCATAAATGTGAGTCAGTTGCCATGATGTATCTAAATAAATTTGTTATTTGAGGAGAAGCAATTGCCTTGGGAGTTCAATTTGTGATGGGTGCATTACTTGGAGGCTGACACAAGCTGAATTTTGGATCACGTGACCATGGGGATGCTGCAACAGTCATAAAGTGTGAAAAATGATCATAAGTCACTTTTTTTTCCAGTAATGTTGTAACTCTGAACGGTAGTAAATGAACTGTTGTAAATTGAGGACTGCCTGCATTTTTTTCTCATCCAAGAGGGCACAATCTATTCCACGTGGCTGAAGTGAAATAATAAAGTGAAGTAATAAATGTTTGGGTCTTTAGGGTACCATAAGGCTAGCTGCTGTTTTTGCTGCCAAAGACCAACATCAAAGACCTTATGCAAAATACCTCTCCACATATAACAAATGAGGACACAATGAATGAAGATAGTCCTAACATACCACCATTCGTGCGATGCCCATTCAAAATTACAATGGCACTGAAAAAAAAAATGACTTAGGACTGGTCCTTACACTTATGACCATTGAAGCAGCCCACAGTAGCATGATCAAAATCTGGCCCCTTGTCAACCAGCCTATATTTACAACGACTGCAGAATCCTGGGTTACGGTGATCGCCATTTGCAATCTTCTCCGATAGCTTCTGACAAGCAACGGCAAAGGGGAAGTTTAATTCACTTAACGACCGAATGATTCATTTAACGAATTCAGTGATCTGCTTAATCACTGTGGCAAAAAGGTCATAAAATCAGGCACAACTCATTTAACAACTGTTTTGCTTAGCAATGGATATTCTGGTCCCAACTGTGCTTATAAGTTGAAGACTACCTGTGAATGGCAGTGCTTCAATCATTTGAGTTCTTTCAAGGCATTCTCTTCTCACCAGTGTTGCAACCAATCGGTAAGAGTTGCATATATTACCCTCATGTTATAAGCTAGAGAGGACATTTCCTCCCCCCCAGGAAGTAATGTTAACTGAGATCATCAATTTTCCCTTTTAAGCTAATCTCTTTGGTGGTTAGGTACATTCTTCCAAATCTTTGGGTTTGACCTTCCTCCTTTGTCTCTCTGAGAACAATTCTGGAAGAAGGTATTTATTTTGACTCTTCTTTGGTTATCTCTATCAAGCAATATGGCTTCATACAACAGCTAAACAGAATAGTTCAAGTTTAAATTAACCACGCATGTAAAATTCACAGATGAAAAGCAAGCGGAAGTCCAGAAACTCAGAACCAAAAGCAAAACCAATACAAGCATGTTGCATGCGAGCTAACTTCAACCCCCAAACTCTAGGCCGGCGCATTTCACAAGTTAAACTTCATCAGAACCCAGAGTTTTCTTATACTGAAGAAAATGCAGTCCAGGCTGAATTCTAAAACCAAATAGGCTGTCCAGCTGCATCTCTGACATCGAACTCAGACCAAAAAAGTCTGCAAAGTGATCAATTCAATAGAAATAGTCTTGCTGTAGAAAAGCCTACAGCAAGACTTCTCCCTTTTCTGTATTCTCAGCCCCTGGTGTTCAAAGATAGACCCGCTTCTGAACACAGAAATGTATTGTGGCTAATAAGTGACTTAATTTACTTACTGCTGGACTCTGCAAGTGGCCCCTGACTTTTCCAATCATACTGTAAAAGACTTGCTGGATCAGAGCAAAATTTCACTGACCTCAGAAACTCTGGCCAGTCTGATGCTCCTGCAAAGTATACAAACAGGACAAGAAGGCACCGCTTTGCTCCCAGCGATTGCTCTAATAATATATTGTATTATGGCTAAAGAAAACCACGGTCTTCAGCTTCCGTGGCTAATTAATAGGCAGACTGCCCTTCAATGTTACAACACACAACATATATACTTCATCGTTTTTAAAGAAATCCAAGTACTTACATTACCTACAAACTAGTTTGCCTGTCATCTCAGCCCACCCATAGGAAATCTGTGAAGTTCAGGAGGTATGGGATACCCTGTGCCATTTATTTATTAAATTTACATGCAGCCCATCTCACTGTCAAGTGCCATCAAGATTCCGTATGTGCCACTGGAAGATTACTAGGTCTCCCCGCCATAATTCCAAGTTATCAACCCTCCTCCCCCCCCAAACAAATTTCATACACACTTTGTTCATTCATTTTACATTTGAGGGTTGGCTTAGCAACCATCTGTATTCACCTTTTTAGCATTAAGAGAAATCTCCTGGCGGAATCTAAACTTGGGTTAATTGGGGAACAAATCCTGCAAATGATGGTTAGAGGCTTCTAAACAGATTCAGAACAATGAATCGATGGTGCTAGGGAATAAAAATGAGTGCACTCAGGCTTAATTCCAATGAAATATTCACAGATATGCTGCTACTATATGTGGATATTCTTTAGTTGGCTGTCAACATTCTCCTGATTTTATCCCCATGTCATCTGAATTGGGGCCCCCGCTGTTTTACTGTGTCCTGCGATAACAACCGTGGTGCCAATTCCTTCCTCAGTGACCATTTATATTTTAATACAGGAAACAGAGCATGTTGCATTTATAATTTTAGAAACTTAAATAAGGGGTGGGGAGAGGGCCTCCCTCATGACTTTGAAAAAGATGTTAGGCATGGCTGGGAATGGGAGTATTTCCCCCAGAACCAGAGGAAAGTTTTGCCAGAGTGCCATCTCTTAGTTGCAATTCTATTCACTTCAGTGGAACATTTTAAAAAATGCAAGGGGGTTTTAGGAGAGGAACACCCACAACCGTCCTGGAAGGAAGGGAGGGGACACGCATCCAGGAAGGGGTGGGGCAAGAAAGGGGGAACTACAAGGTCGACCAGACTCCTGGGGGGGGGGGGGGGGGAAGCTTGCAATACCCCCCCTCCCCACTTTTTTTTTAACGCATGTTTCAAGCGAAGGCAAAAAAATAATACGTGAGCAGGACCGGGACGGGGGAAAGGACTTTTACTTTGACAGCAGATTCTTTCCGGCTGCAAACCAGATTAAGGGCCAGAAGAAAAACACCGATGTGTCCCCTTAAGGTTCCTGCCCCTCCCCCCCCCCCCGCTCTTAACGCTGCTTTCCCCCCCCCTCCCTCCCTCCCCCCAAACTCCCCGAGAGCTGCCTCCGCGATCTCTTCTCCTTCCAGGGCCATCATCTCTGGAACACACAGAACCCCATTGTCCACACTGGAGCCCCGTTTTCAAGCCCTTTCCCCGGCCTTCCTCCTCCAAACCAAGCGGCCCCAAAACTCACACCTCGGGTTTTTGGGCAACAAAAGAGCGGACGGTCCCACGAGGGCTCCTTTCTAAAACCGCGACTTTATAAAGAAAAAAAAAGGGGGGGAGGGGAGGATCTCCCCTCTCCTTCCTCTTCCTCCCCCCCCCCCAATCTTAACTCTACAATTCGCTTCCCAAGCGTGCATGATGGTGGAAGAGGAAGCAAACCCGGGCAGCAAAAGGGGGAAGGGAGCTATTGCAACTTTCCGAAACAAATATTGTTTCTCTCTTTTCCCCACCAGCACCAGCGCCCCACCAAAACCAGCAAAAGGCCGGCGGTCAGTCTTTTTGGATCAGATCGGAGGGGGCTTTGTTTTGGAATGAAGAAAAAAAAAGTTTTTGTTTTTAAAATGAAAAACATTATTGAGAAGAGCGAGGGAGGAAGAGAGGACAAACCACCTCCAGATCATCGCTTCTGCTTCCCCCTCCCTCCTCCTATCCTCCATTAAGTCAGCCAGAATCAACTTCCTTGGAGTTTTGGGTTTTTGTTTTTTTTTTAAAACAAGATCGAAAGCCGTAGGAGTACAAGAAAGTGTTTTATTTCGAGCTCTTGGGGGGGGGGAAGGAGGAGGAGGCGGCGGCTTTAAAACCTCGGCGACTGCGTAGACGTCCGCAGAAGCCCCCACCGCCACATTTCACCCCACTTCTTCAACTTGTCGGGGGGGGGGGCTTTTAGGGTCGCCCAACTAACTGCAAAGCGAACTTGGGAGAGAGGCCTTAAAAGCCGAGGCTTTTTGACGCAGGTTCCCCGTACCCCCCCCCTCCCCTCCTCGGTTTCATTAAAAGAAAAGGAAAAAAAAAAACTTTGAAAAGGATGCACTTACAAGACTTGCTGGCTCGCGATCCAGAGGAAGAAAAAAAAAAGAAAAAGATCCCGTCCTCTACAATCCGCTTCCTTTCTTTCTCTCCCTCCCCCCCCCCACCTCGTCCTCCACAATCGTGGGGAAAGGGGGGGAAAATGCTATAAAAGAAGCCCCCTCTTTTTTAAACCAGCCGGGTAGATTCCTCCTTCCTTCTGATCCCCCCCCCCCCCCCCCCCCCCCCCCTCCTTTACCAAATGCGCTTCTTACACGTGCAGTCGGTCGGAAGAGCATGCGCGCACACGGTGCCTAATTCACTGGGGTTCTTCCCTCCTCCTCCTCCTCCCGGTCAAGCTATTAATTAGATTGCATTGGCAAAAATCCTCCTCCTCCTCCTCCCTTTTATTTGGCGTAAAATGGAAGAGTTGGGGGCGGAGAGAAAAGAGAGAGAGGGAGAGGTAACAGTTGGTAGAGTTGGACCTGGAACTAGGCGAGGGTTAAAAGAATCGGCGTCGGAAGGCCGGGCCGGAGATTGGAGAACGGGGAGCTGATGATGCAGCAAAGCCACCCCCCTATCCCGTCTTTCTTTACGCGGCAGTTCGGGGCCACGTGGAGAGGCCGGGCTAATAGGGCTCACGCAACCAACGAAGCCCGCTTGTGTGTGGCCGGAGAGATTGGGGAAGGAGGGGGGGGGGACCGCTTCCTTCCACGTGTTGGGGCGCGCAGCTCCCACCGAGGAGAGAAGAGGTAGCGGCGGCTGAGACATCCGGCCCTGCTGAGCCTCCTGAAAGGCGGTCGAGGAGGAGGAGGAGGAGCGGCCGCCGTCAAGCCCGGGCAGGGCGGTGCTTCCGAGGGCGCTCCGATTGTCCTGGATGGCCTCGTCGAGGGAAGAGCGAACCAGGGCTCGGGTCCCGGGCGGCCTAGTCGAGCCTATGAGCCATACCGAGAATGGTGTCGCTTCTCCGAGCGTTTCCTTTTTAACAGGACTTTGGGCAACGCGTGCTCGGGGAGGGGAAAAAAAAAGGGGGGGATTTCTTGGCCTCCGTCCGCTTTCATCGGATCTCGTCGGCTGCAAAAACTGAAAACGGCGGCAGCCTCTCCGGAACGACCCACCGACAAGCTTGCAAAATCGCGAACGAGCTTTGCAAATTCTTCGCCAGGCTAGATCGCTCTTCAGTGCTCTTCTCGGGTTGGGATTTTTGCTGTGTTATTATGTATGGTGGGAGAAGGGGGGGGTTCCCCCAGTTGTGTGTTATTTTAATTTTCTTCAAGACACTGGCGTTTTTTATTCTAGGAATAGTGAGGACGGCAACCGACGTAGACTTCGATGGCTTATTTTAACTCCATCCGTGCATGCGTTTCACACATTGAATCGTTAAGTCTGAAGACGGATTCTCATAACTGGAAGGCTATGAATGCTACCCGGCTCTCTTCGGGTTCGCGACAGCGAATGCTGCCCGTAATCTGCATTCACATTTTACTAAGTGCCCCCAAATCCCTTGGGCAGTATTCCAGTGGGGATAGAACTGTATGTTTGTATGGCACATCTTTTTTTTTTTAACCCTTAGGGTTAAAAATATTGCATAAGCTTTTATTGTGACCATAAGTAGCAGTGTTGTCTCCTACACCTTCATTTGATCCATGTATTTTTAAGCGGTGCTTCTGCATTAGAATGGCAAATAGTGTAGAACATTAGTGTTTCCTAAGTAAATTTCAAGTAAAGATTCCTTCAAGAAAATGAAACGTTATTAAAATGAGATCCCCCCCCCCGTGGTTCCCATGCAAGCATCCTGACCTGCTTTCCATCATATTTTTTTAGAACAATGTCATTTGTGACATTTTCTGCCATTGTAAAATACTATTCTCCATCCAGCCAATCAGAAAATAAACACAATGCGTTTCAAAAGTAAACTAGATTTTTCCAAGCAGAATGAAGCCCCCAGTGATAGGAAACTGTACCCTTAAATCTCTTGAGAGAAATTGTGCAAAACATGGTCCTTCCGGGAAGAATTTGCCATGCCTTGCTGACAGTTTTCTCCTTTGAAAGATGTTAGAGTAAGGCACAATTGGATCAGCTATACTGGATTTAGTGCTAAGAGGACATTGGAAGGAGCAGGAACATTATCGAAGAGTCACAATGTTAATGCTGGAGTTCTTGATTCCAAAAGAATCCAAAACTAAGCACATATCTTGGAATGTTAAGACCTGGATTTGTAGCCACTCCCAAGTATTTATTAGATTCCACATCAATCAAGTAATAGGAAAGGAAGCTGAAGGCAGATGAAAATTTCTAATGGAGATTTTATGAGTTGCAAAAAGTAAAATGGGTGGTTGGTACTGGTAGTAGACTTTGAAGATTTTTTTTTAGGACATGTCAGAAAATGCAAGAATGCCAAGTCACAATTACAGTCAGGTAATATAGAACTGCAGAGCTCATGTAAATACAGTAAAAAATTATCAGAATGTGCTGGTGTTAGTAAAGGATACTAAAAATAACAAAGGGCTTCCTTAGATATGTTCAGACTAAAATAAAATTGCTATACCAACTCCTCAATGAAAGCAAAATGTTTTAACAGGTTAGAAATGACAAAGGCTAATCAGTCTTCAACCAAAAAGTGTTTCATCATAAAATTGTGATAAACAAAAAAAGCCAGAACTGAAGTTTGCAACTGACAGAAACATGATCAGAAAATACTTGTTTACCTTAATGAATGTAATTATCTGGGATCAGAATTGCATCAGTTTTAATCACTATAGAATGTCTTTAAAGTGACATATCAGGCAATTGGAGGATAACTAGTATCCCAGCCTTCAAAAGTAAGACTCCCAGATTAAATTTTACCTTATTTTTGATTGAGTAATTTTCTTGATTGTGGGACTAGATATAGCTTGATTTCAACAAAGTCTTTGACAAAAATATCCCATGCTATCTTGATTAACAAACTAATTAAGCACAGGTAGTCCTTGGCTTACATCCATTTGTTCAGCTATTGCTTGAATTGCAACAGTGCGCCGAAAAAGTGGTACTTATGACCAGTCCTCACAGTTCCAACTGTTGCAATGTCCCTGTAATCATATGATGGTGATCTGAGTGCATAGTGCCCAGTTTGCAGTTGTGAGGTGCTATTACATGATTGTGATTCCTGGGGTCCCCTGCCAGTTTCCCATGAGCAAAATCAATGGGGAAGCTGGCAGGAAGTTGCAGTCATGTGAGGTCTTTGCTTAATGATGGCAAACTGGGATTGCTGGAGCTGCAAGTGGCGTGGTCACATGATGCTGCATTTTATGACTGAATCAGTAATGGCAATTTCAGTCCTAATAGCTTGAATACAGCAAGACAGTTTAAGCAGATACAGAGCTGCTTGAAAATTGTATTTAAATAGTGCTCAATTAATGGAGCCTCATCAAGTTGGAGAAGGGTATTAAGTAAATACCACAAGCATCAGTCCTGGATTTTGCCATTTGTATTGATTTGAATGAAAGGTGTGAAGAAAATGTTTATGAAATATATATATGACAAGTATATACCTCTGAAGGAGATGGGTGGTTAAGAAGTTTGAAATATAAACAAGTTTGGATGGGATAGCTACTACTATTGAAGGCAGAAATAGAATTCAAAACCTTGAACTAGCTGGCATTATCAGAATGAAATTTAATAGGAACATGCGCAGTACTGAGTAGAAGTCAGAGTGAAATCCCATTTTAATGAACTGATTGGTGGAAGAGGGGTACCTTATTCAGGAATATCCACTGACGAATGGATATTCTTGGGGATTTCTGTCATGCAAATCAGGAAAGTAGATTCTAACTGAAATTTAGAAAGAACTTTCTAAACAGCAACAGCAATTCTGTAGTGGAACCAATAACCCAGCAAAATGTTATTCAGTGGAGGCTCCATATCTTCCTGTTGTGGATGGTTTAATTTGGATTCCTGTGCTGAGCAGAGGGTGGGAATGGATAATCTAAATCAGAGGCGGGGAATTCTGGGAGTTGAAGTCCACAAGTCATAAAAGAGTCATAGTTCTCCACCCCCTGGTCTAAATGATCCCAACTTGGTGATTCTGATTAATGAAAATTGATTATTGAAAGTCAAATTTAACAAGAGACCCCTGTTGGAAGAGAATGAATCAGGATCTGTCTATTGGTGATGTGTAGTGTTTCAGCACTGGTTCTGGCTCACAATTACTTTTCCTTTCTGAAAATATCAGTTGAGTTTTTAAGAATGGATGGGAAATATCACCTATAGAACTATACACAAAAGGCTTAAGTTCTGGAATTGAAAAGAAATTTCTAAGTAAAGTATGTGTTCAAAAGCACTTTGTTGACAGTTCTGTCCTTTCAAGACAGTATTTTCTGTCTGGATCTGATTAATGGACCTGAGGGTTCAAATAAAAAAAAAAATTACATAATTGTGACAGTGCCCTCAAAGACTAAATCCCATAGTGGTCCAACTTATTAAAACGCCTTCTGAAATTCAAATTTGGTACATGTCAACTTTTGCTGTTCAAATCTCACTCAGAAAATCTTACGCTTTTTAAAATAATAGAAATTTAGAAATTCCTTGCTCTCAGAAGAATCCATGGTGCTCCTGTCTTGACGGCCTGATCGTGCTTTGTAATCAAAGGCTCAAACACAGAGCACTGACTCAAGCAAAGAAGCAAATGACAACTTCTGGGTGCCAGTGATTTCTGCTTTAGGAATGAGTGAATGTTGAGGATCAGTTTAATGCTAAGACAAGGTCCTTGCATAAATTAATCAAAAGGAAATGAGTCTTGAACACTTAATTATACAGAGGTATAACAAATATTCTCTATAATTACTACTTCAAATGTTTAGTTATCACGGCAGTCTCTTTGTCCAATATTTTCTACATTGAGTTGCTCTGCCTCTTGTCTTTCAGCTACAAGAGCTTTTTTCCCACCATCTTTGTTGCCAGGACTTCTTTTAAGATGCTGGGGATAGCATTGAAACTTCTTGAATGTGAAGCCAAAACTGAATGCTGACCCTTTTCAGGTTTTCCATTGATAACCTGAGCTTCCTTTATTATATATTTTTCAATTATTTATTTAAAAAGCTATTAATAACTTATTCCCTCCTCATCCCCACTATCTTGATTGTTAAATGATTTCCTTTCTAGCATTCGAAGAAAGAACAGTACAATACTAAAAAGACATGTGATATGACTACCTTTTAATGAATATACTAAATAAGATCCAAAATCATTA